GTTTATACATCACAGTTTTTATATAATTATTAAAGTAAGAAAAAATACCATATCATATAAATTGGACGGATTTTCACGATAACAAATTATATTATATTATATTATATATATATATATCAAATTAACCAATTCACAAATAGTGAAAACTTTATTCTAAAATAAGTAACATCTTAAGGGCGATTTGCACTTACCTTCTACATGCATGGTTTATGCTAACCCAAATACATATTAATTAAACGGACCAATGGGTCATTTTACTAACACGGTCAGGTGTAATCCTATTCCGGGATAGCCATGTATTTACTTATCGCGGCAGCCAAACAGGCCCTGTAGGTCAAACCCTCTATTTTTGAAAGTCCCCCGTGAGACGACAGTTTTGGGCGATACTATCCATCTCCCTTCCCACGTCAGGCTTCTCCGTTTTCTTTCTATTTCTCTCTGTTCTCCCGCATAATCATAGTGCTGCTCCAGGTACCACTCCGCTTTGCAAGTAGTACGTATAATACGTATACGGATACGAAATCATTTGTTAAATGATACCTTCTGTGCGTGCACTTTCTGATTCTTTTGCTTCCGTTCTTCATCAACTTCTCCCAGTGAAGAAACACACCGCTTAGGTACTTCGAGAACTTGACTTCCGTTTTGCAGAATTTCAGCCCAGATTTTGTGGTTGCGTGATGCATTTCTCTTGATTTTGCTTCTCTGCTTTCGGTTTGACTGATGAGCTTCGAAATTTTGAGCCCGTCTTATTTCATTTTCTAATTTGGGCTCCTGCAACTTGTTAACGCTAGTTTAATTAAGAATCTCGAGCTCGCGGTGTGATATTTTTATATTTGCTGTGTTTGTTACTTGAATTCTTTTAGCTTCCTTTTTTTTTTTTTTAATTTTTTCCTCTTTTTTCTTTGCTGTATTTCAAGCCTTTTTGGTAGTGTACAGGTTTGTTATCTATCATTTATTGTCAAAGTTTAAGCTGCAAAGATATGTTTTGTATAATGCATGAATTTAGACGTGATTAAATATCAAATGGTGGTTTGGGGAAGTTTTTGTCATCTTAACTTGAGGACATGATTATGCTCCTGGTTTAGGCGTCAATTTCCGCATGGATAATTTGATTTTCTTACATTATTGTTACTGTTATTGTTAGGAAAGAAATGGGCAGCCAAAATCCTACATGTGGTGACCGGACGAGGACAAACTGGACCCCAACCATGGAACAGTATTTTATTGACCTTATGTTAGATCAGATGCATAGAGGCAACAGATTAGGGCATACATTCAACAAACAAGCTTGGACAGACATGTTGACCATGTTCAATGCGAAATTTGGTTGTAGATATGATAGAGATACCTTGAAAAGTCACTACACCATTTTGTGGAAGCAATATAATGATGTCAAGAATCTTCTCGACCAAAGTGGATTCTCGTGGGATGATGATCAGAAAATGGTTGTAGCTGATTCTAGTGTCTGGGCTGCTCAGATAAAGGTGAGCTGGCTAATTCTTTAACCCATTTGGGTGTCTTTCGTCAATGCTTTTGTTAATGTAATTTGGATTTACTGTTAACATGATGTCTATGCAGCTCAGCCAGATGTACAAATTACAGAAACAGAACTTGATGAATTTCAATGATTTGTGCTGATATACGCATATACAAAAGCCGATGGAAGATACAGCCGTTCTAGTCATGACATAGACTTTGATGATGATATGCAAGGACTGATTATGGGTTTGTTTCTTGCTCTAGTTAAGAACCCCTAAGGAAAAGTCGCCAATATCATCAGCATTTAAAACGTATATTTCCTTGGTTTTTGGTCTATATAAGCAAATAATGTAAAGCGTAAGCTTAAGTTTTTAAGTAGAAACCATATACAGGAAGCAGATTATTAACAGCTTCTTGTAACTGTGTTTTATGAGGTAAAGATATTTACAGCACTTCTCTTGAATTAATTAGTTCGGAGGAAGTGGTTTTACACCATTTCCAATGGTTGGAGACTCTAGTATCAGCTGTTGCCCAAGCTTTAGGAAATGGTCATAAGTCTCTTACTCTCTCCACTATACTTACCACTGTTTGCAGTTAAACGATCCACCTGGATGGTACTCTCACATAAGCTGGCATATAACTGTTTCCTGAGTATATTATCATAGAAAGAAATGAGGGCTGGTTTTTCCTATTGAAATTAATAAGGATTAAGCAATGAGCGTGTTTTCACCAAGTTTATTCTCTGCTAGATAATTGCTTTTGTTTATTTCTTTTTGCTTTGAAAAGTGTTGCTTTTTTCTATTGCAACAGGTACTGCATGTTGTTTATGAAGAAATGACTACTTTTACCGATTAGTTTTTGTATTGTAGGTCCTGGAACTTGTATCATTACCCCAGCAGCTACTGAGCATTCAAAAATGAATTGGACAGGAGCCATGGACCAATATTTTGTTGACCTTATGCTGGTACAAATTAGAAAGGGCAACAAAACCAATAACATTTTTATCAAACAAGCATGGAAAGATATGCTCACTTCATTCAACTCTAAATTTTGTTCGCAATATGGTAAAAGCTTTCTAAAACGCCGTTATAGAAAACTGTGGAAGTACTATATGGATATCCGGAGTCTTCTTGAACAAAAAGGATTTTCTTGGGATGACAAACGGCAAATTATAGTGGCTGATGATGTTGTCTGGGACAAATATATAAAGGTTTATTATCATTTCCATCTGTTTTATGAATGTAAAGTTGTTGTCTTTTATGCTTATTATTGTGGATTTAGGTGAACCCAGATGCTCGCTCATACAAAAATAGGACATTGCTGAACTATCAAGATTTGAATTTGATATATGGAAATTCGAGCAACAATGAATTTTGGGATCATATGCAACATGATAAAAACTTTGATGAGAGCCTCAATCCATCCAAGATAGGTGAACATTTTTATATTGGCAATTTAGATATTGCTGAAAGTCTTTTGGTTGTGAACTAAGAATCAGATTCTGTTTTTGAATTCGGTTGTTTAGAAAGTTTTTAAATTATCATACATGATGTATGTTAGAGAAATAGGCCAGGTAGGATGATGTTTATTGCTGTGCTGTTCAGATTTTATGAGCACAGTTCTTGACCTGGTGCTCATTTGTAAAAAATTTTTTGGGAGTAGTGATCATGCATGTTGAAGTATGGAAAATGAAGTTGTATAATTTTCTATCAATTTAATCTTTTGTTGGGTTTGGTCGACCTAATAATTATTCCATTTGGTATTGGAACCAAAAGCAAGGAGTTTCTGTCCCAGCTGTCTTGTTTATGTTAAAAATTAAATTTCCAAACTGTTTGAGGGGTTTAAGTGAGGCTCTTTTAAATTTGTAGGGTAATTGGTTGCCTAATCCATTATTTCATAAATACCATAGCTTATATCTGATGCAAGAAAATCACATGGATCTTCATTTGTTTGAAAGGTCTGCATGTGGTGGGAGCATGACTTCAACCTAATTTCTTTTCTTGGGATGATTTATGTGTGCATGGTAACACACTCTAAGATAGAGTGTTGATTTTCAGCAGTTTGTCTGAATCTTGAGTTCAACAATTCATGCAGTTGAAGAAAAAAAAGGGCATTTCTCTGCTGGAATTGACATTCAGAAAGAATGCTGGACTCCACCTATGGATCGTTATCTTACAGACTTGTTGTTAGAGCAAGCACTACGAGGGAATAAAATTGGTCATGCATTTGTATCTGAGGCTTGGATTGAAATGGCCACAATTTTCAATGCAAAATTTGGATCTGAATATGACATTGATGCTTTGAAGCGACGGTATAAATATTTGAGGAGGCAATATAATGGGATAAAGATTCTTATACAACAGAATGGGTTTTATTGGGATGACACTCGTGAAATGGTAACAGCTGATGATTATGTTTGGGATTCTTATCTCAAGGTAGATTCAACAGCTTTTTCTATTGTTAAATGTATTTTAGATTCTCTATCACCTAAACTGATTGATGCAGGAACATCCTGAAGCTCAATCATTTCTAAAGAAATCTCTCCCAAGCTATCACAAGCTGTGCGTCATATACGGCGAAGAAAGTTCTAATGGAAGACGTAGACAATTGGCTCACAATATAGATCTCGAGAGTGAAGGCTTAAATTTGATGAATGGTATGTTTATTTTCAGTCATGAAGGTTAGGGTAAGGTATTCTAGATCGGATGATCTGCGGATTTTACCTTTAGCCATGATATTGGCAGGTAAATCTTGGGAATAGCTGCCTCCCATATTGAGCTTGATTAGGGCAATGCTTATGCTGCACGCTCATTTAAGACATTGCTGGAGCCCCTAGCAATGCCGCTTGCATGCCTTTGTCCTTCTCTGTCTCCATTCATCCCTTTCCTGAGTTTGAAATTGGACCAGTTCTTCACTCATTTTAATAGAGGCCGCATCTGCATTATCTGGAATGATGCGGCAACTATTTAGATTTCGAAACAATGATTAAAACTCAAATGTATGGGAAACCTTCTTATGCACATAACATCCTTGTTTATATTTTAAAACTATTTAGAAAACAACATTCATATTTTAGAGGACTTTATGCTGCCTGAGTGGTGTCATTGCCATGATCTTTGGTTAGATACTAAGACTTTTCTAGGCAAATTCTATGGTGTCCTGTTAGTACCATTGAACTCCTTTTTACCAATATCTATAGTTGAAGGGTTCCAAATATTAATTACGTTCCTGTTGCTTTAAGTATACATGGGCGTGGTACCCCCAATTTAAATGGGGACACAGAATAATCCTATGTTTTATTATTTATTCGTGAAAGTATTTAAATATATTTTTTACCATCCTATGTATACGCTTTGTAGTTTTTGTGTCTGCAGATAGTGAAAGCGTGATTCCATGCTACTTATTAGTTATTGGGGCTTTCCTTGCTGTTGGAAGCTTTCCTGTAATCTTTTCTTTCCTTAAAAAATTATAGTTAGAAATAATGTTAATTTGTTAAATTCAGAAGATAACATTCAAATAGTAAGCTGTTTTGATGTATGTTTGTAAATCTTGAAAATCAATGATTCTTATAAATTGTATCTCATGAGGTTCTTGTGTGTGTAGGTGAGGAGACCCAATCCCATGCAAATTGTGATTTCTTGAGAGAATACTGGACAACTTCAATGGATCGATATCTTATTGATTTAATGCTAGAGCAAGTGCGTAAAGGGAATAGGTTTAGTTCCTCTTTCAACAACGAAGCATGGATTGATATCGCTGTGTCATTCGTGGAAAGATTTGGATTGCTGCCTGACAAGGAACTTTTGAAGAGTCGTCATAAACATTTAGGGAAACTATTCAATGATATGAACAATCTTCTTGATCAAAGAGGGTTTTTTTGGGATGAAAAACATCAGATGGTCTCAGCATATGATGATGTCTGGGATGCTTTTATCAAGGTGCTTTACTTGTTTATTGAGTGTTAACGTTGATTCATATATTAAGTGACTCACATATAGTGCATGTAGGAACACCCAGATGCGGAATCATATAGGACCAAGTCCAAGCCAAACTATAATGATTTGTGTTTGATTTATGGAAATTCTTCTTGTTGTGGAAGTGGCAACCAAACTACTCCAAGTATTTTCTGTAATGGTGATGGTGAGTTTGTTACTTCATTTAAAGTTATCAGCATGTTAATTTTGTCCATTCATCAATATGCCGCTTTCTCCCTTCTACCCTCCACCCCTCTCCTGTTTTTTAACTGCTGGCAGAAGGATTTTTCAATAGTTTGCACACTAGTAATTGAGGGAACTTTGATGAGTTAGTTTGGGTATTCTCTATTTCATGATTGATGAGATGTCTGAGTTCTTTTAACTGTCCCATTCAATATTTATTGGTTTCAGTAGGTATTAAGCTTTTATATATATTTTTTTTCATATTCTTTTTTCTGTTATAAAATTTGTTGAAGCTGCCAAACTTAAGAATGGATATTGCAAAAGGATCGATTGGACACTGCCAATGGACAGGTACTTCATCGATCTGATGCTAGAACAAGTTTCTCAAGGGAATATGATGGATCAAAAATTCAACAAGCAAGCCTGGGAAAATATGGTTGCAAAATTTAGTGCAGAATTTGGATCCCAGCATGACGAAGATGTCTTGAACAGTCATTTTATGAATTTAAGGAAGAGATTCCATGATATAAAAAACTTGCTGGACCAGAATGGATTTGTCTGGGATGAAATGCGACAGATGGTAACTGCTGATGATCATCACTGGGATGCGTACATCAAGGTGCCATTTGATTGAATTTTCTCATATATGAAAATTTCTGCTTTCTGAAGTTTCTAGTAGCTTACATATGAATTCTTCAGGAACATCCTGATGCACCATGGTATCGAAATAGAACTCTCCCAAGTTATAATGATTTGTTCCTGATATTTGGGAATGCATATCCTAATGGGAGGGAACATCATTTATCTCATTCTAATGACCCTGACGACTTTGCTCTAGGAGGAAGTGGTATAATCTCTCTTCTCCTTCTCTCTCTCTCTCCTTGGAGCTTATTTGCTATGTGGGAAAATCATTGTCATTATCGGTTTACAACTTGATCAAAGCATGTGAATACATTTATGAATATGGATTGAAAAGATGGTGTTGTGGAACTGGGGATATAATCGGTCTTGTTTTTAATAAAAAAATGTATAGAACAATCGAGGGGGTGCAAACCTGTATACAAAAGCACTAAGGGGATATAATCAGTCTTACTTGCATATTTAGGGAAACAATGTCTAGAAAAAAGAAAAGGGAAATAGTTTTTAGATTTTTTTTGGTTGTGAAGATAACGATTTAAGAGTATTATTGGTTTGCATCTAATTTGGTATGTTTGGCAAGAATTTTCTAATTATTGTTACATATGCTCCAAAATGATGTGCAAAATAATAATGACTTGCAGCAAGTCTGATCTGTTGACCAGAGGAGATTCTAACTGCTCTATATTAATTCATGATATGTACTTGTTTTATCTGATTCAGAGGGACACCAGCTTCATCAAATAATGTGCAGATCAGAATATTCCATCTTCTTGTGGTGTCACATAAACTTACATTTATTGAAATTTTATGGATTTGTAGGAGAGGAGGATTACCAGTCTCCCGCTAATAGTGGTCCCTTGGTTATAGAATGGACAAGCCAGATGGATAGTTATTTCATTGACATTATGTTAGAGCAGGTGCACAGAGGGAATAAGATTGGTCATACGTTCAGCAGACAGGCCTGGGTTTGGATGACTGCATCATTCAATGAAAAATTTGGGTTTATATGTGACAAATATATTCTTGAAGATCACTTTCTAAGATTGATGAAGGAATATATGAATATCACGAATATTCTTTGTCAGAATGGCTTTGCTTGGGATGAATCTCAGCAAATGGTAGCAGCAGATGATGATGTTTGGGAAGCTTATATCAAGGTACAGTCTTTCTCTAACATTACTGGTTATAGAACAAACAATGTTTCTGTCATTATTTTTTTTCCCTGCAGCTTTGCATGACTTTGATTGAACCGAACTCTGTGTATAGTGTGTGAAAGACCTTTGATTATTGAAGAAGATTTTAAGTTACAGTTTTAGCTATGATCTTGTGCAGGACTATCCAGAAGCAATCACTTACCGAGGTACAAATTTAGGTACTTACAAAGATCTATGCAGGATTTTTGGTGGTGAAGTTCGACTTCCAAGATCAAGTAGTTTAGGTGTACAAATGATGGGCAGGAACTCCCCTATGAATATGGGAGTTGATGGTGTCTTCATAGACTCCCAAATTCCAGCTTCTGAGCTTGAAATATCCAATCGGAAAAGGAGAAAATCTACAAATTCATCAATATCAGCTCCCAGGAAAGTTCGGAGACCAAACAAGGAGATGCCAGAAACACTTGCTAAGAAGTCAGATATGATTAAAAAATCAGTGACATATGAAGATGATGGAGGAGACTGCAGCTCAATTAAGAGTGTTGTTGATGCTCTTCAAGCTATTCCAGGCATGGATGATGATCTTTTCTTGGAAGCCTGTAAACTTCTACAATATGACAGACAAGTCTCGATGTTTGTCCAAATGAATATCCGTCAACGAAGGAAATGGTTATTGAGAAAGCTTCGGCCATAGCAGCATCTCTCAGGTTTGTGTATATAGGAAAAACTGTTGCACTTCGAAATCCAGTCTTGTGTAAATTGGTAGAAATGTCTGTTGAGCGTATGTATGGTAAATAGATGGATAGAACAGGGAAAGAATGGAGATTTGATAGGAACTTGCATATATGTTGTGAAACTGTACATAGCCTGGAAAGTGGGAACAGTCCAATCTCTATATCCCTTAACGTGGCTTATTCTACAAAAGAAATATTCTGTTTGGGGACAAATGAGCTGATTCACCTTGCAGATTTCATTAATCGAATCAGATTTTTTGGGAACAGTGGTGTAGGTTTTCATTTCTTGTAATTTCTTTCTGAAAATTCTACTTTTTAAAGTCTTATTAACTTATTTTAAAATAAGAAAATTTGGGTAAAAACTTATTCCAAAAAATATTAAAAATTTAACAAACTGTATGTTGATTAAGCTTAAAATAAGAAGAAGCGTTTTCGATCAATGAAAACAAACGCGACCCAAGAAGCTTCTCTCTATCTCCCCGCCTCTGTATATACATGTACACATATATACACACCCATCTACATATATGCATTAAATATTCATGAAAGATCTGACTTCTGAGAGGGAGAGAGAGAGGTTACCCAGGTCATCGAACCCGAACAGTCCAATCATCTTTAGCTGATCCAACGCTCATCAACTCAAGATCAAACATCAAAACAATCCCGCTACACACCCCATACGCAGTAGGAAATAATCAAATCTTTTGGGAATGGCATGGCACTGACCTCCACTCTTCCTTCTTCCCTCAAAACCTCAGCTCTTTCTCTAACCCTCGTCTCTGCATTTCTTTTCTTCCTCCTCACTACCCCCAAATCCTCGCTTCCGTCCCCAACCCACCTATCTAATTTCCCTCTAATTCCTGGCAGGCTTCTCCTCGGTACCTCCAACTCCTCGTCCCCAGGGCTAACGAGGGAAACGAACCCATCTTGCTTTTCTATCGAAACAGAAAGTACCCACAGTAGCAATGGCATCATTGACTATTACTTTCTCCATTTTTGCCTCTTTGATCAGAACCCACTTCACTCAATCCCTGCTCTCTCTCTTCTTATCCTCCTCTACTTCTATATCCTTATCAAAACCGCGCAGACCCACTTTTCTACTGTTACCACCAAACTTTCTTGTCTCCTAAACCTCTCTCCAAGCATGGGCGCTGTGACCCTTTTGGCCCTCGGCAATGGTGCGCCGGACGTTTTTGCCTCGGTCGCTGCGGTCCGCGGAGGTCAGTACCGGACTGGGTTCAGCGCGATATTGTCGGCGGGGACGTTTGTCTCAGCCTTCGTGGTGGGTTTTGTTGCTATTTACGCGGCACCATTCGCGGTGGACCCGGGATCTTTTGTAAGGGATGTGCTGTTTTACTTGATCGGGGCGTCGTTCTTGTTCTATGTGTATTTGAGTGGGGAGATTTTTATATGGCAGGCAGTTGGATTTGTTGGATTCTATCTGTTCTTTGTTGGGTTTGTGTTCTGGATGGATTTGGGAATTGGTGGGGGTGGTAATGGTGGAGGAGGAGGACGAAGAGGGAAGAATGGTGGTGGAGCTAGTGAGGTAGAGAAATTGATTGCTACAAAGGATTGTGAGATCGGAGAAACTGAAGAGAATTTTGAGGTGGAGAAGCAGGAGAGTTCTGGATTTTATCAAGTTTGTGGAATGGTAATGTTTGTTTTTCAGGCTCTTCTGCATTGATTGTTTATTTTTCTTGTTTGGAAAGTTTTTTAGGATCTTGGAGATACTCCGTTTGTTCCTTAATTTACATTCAATTCTACTAGCAGTAGATTATGCAAGTTATATTAGAAGATGGTGAAAATTGAATTCATATGGAATGCATGTACAATTGGAACATCAAGTTTGATGTAAAATTGTACGTGAAGTCAATTTTCACTATATTAGGAAGTATTTTCATAATCTTTTAGTTGAATTAAGTATGAATTTGTAAACAAATTTTCATAAAGATTCTGAAAACACAGCCTTTGAAATGATTCAAGATTCAATGGATTTTTTCTTTTTTCCTATCCCAGTTGTCTGACCCTTTGAAAACATAGCCTTAGAAAACATAGCCGTAGGTATACACCACTTTTATTATGAAGAATAGGTTTTATCCAGAAATATATGGTAAATTGATTAAGCTTCATAAGGAGAGTAGTGTTGTTAAGCTGATTGGTAATAAGGTTGAAGTGGGTGGTACAAGTATTTAGTCTTTGTAATGCTTGAAGTGGGAAAAACAGACATGTTATATTCGTTGCTCTTCTTGAATGGAAAACTTTTCTCGTGGATTTTGCTCTTTACAAGATAGTCATTGCCAGATATCACATGGTTCAATATTCTTGGATTGGGAATATTGTTTGTAAGTTTTATTTTGGTTCATTTAATCTCTTCATGAACAAAGTGAAATTAATTTTCATCAGACGAGTTGTGTTCTAATTTCCTGTTCTTTCCACACGCAGATTCCAAAAGTATGGGAATTACCCGTATCATTTCTGCTGAAGCTCACAATTCCACAAACTTCACCTTCGGAATGGAACAGGTTTTACCTATCCGCCAATATTGCTCTTTGCCCTCTAGCTTTTATATATGCTTGCAGTTCATTCGTGCCATTAGATCATCCTATAGTTTTCCTCCTTCCGAATGTCCATTTCCCTCTCTGGTTTATAGTACTCTTGGGAAGCTCCTCTCTTGCACTTCTTCACCTTATTGTGGAAAGAGAACCTCCAAAAACTGAGCAAGTGCCTTTAGTGGTTATGGCATTCATAATGAGTGTGTTTTGGATATCCACCATTGCTGGTGAACTTCTTGGCTGCCTGGCTGTACTTGGAGTAGTTCTTAAATTACCACCTGCACTCCTTGGTATTACGGTGCTTGCATGGGGGAATTCAGTGGGGGATCTTGTTGCTGACATTGCAATTGCTAAAGCAGGTCATCCAGCAATGGCCATGGCTGGATGCTTTGCTGGGCCAATGTTTAACATGCTTGTTGGACTTGGAACAGCTTTGGTGATGCAAACTGCCGATGTCTTTCCAGATGCTTATCAGCTTCATTTTCATGTTGGTATAGTGATTGCTTTTGTATTCCTGCTCTTGAGCCTGATGGGATCTCTGTTAGTCATAACTTGGTCTAGATTCAAAGTGCCTAGGTTTTGGGGCTTCTGCCTTGTAGGTCTCTACGTTGTCTTTACCATAGTTAGCTTAATTATTGCCAAATTTTCAAGGTGATGATCTTTTCATTTTACTTAGTTATTGTTAGATTCATTGCATTGACCCATGAGAAACTCCGTGCCTACTCAATGATAATCATCTAAAGGAGTATGTCTCAGTCCGAGGAAGAAGAATGTAGATACTAGGGATAGCAGCTAAATACAGGCATCTTTTCTCTTCAGTTAATAATTATTTTCTGCCGTATCCTTTAGATTGTTACTTATTACACGATTGAAAATCATATCAAGATGATGTAAGTTAATGGAAAATAGTGATCGGCAGAATGTGATCTTCTGTTCCAGATTGATGCATGTCAACAATCATTTGTTCATTAATGTACTCTGCTTTGTAAATTTCACATCTTGCTGATAAATCATGAATCTTGATTCCTAGCTTCAACTATTTCCTTTTCTTATCTGTCAAGGCGTGTTAATTTAGTCGGATCAAATCCAAATGTGACCCAAGATCTGTGCTCTCACTCTCTGAATCAAGAGGGTGAAGAATGTCGAGCTTCGGAACTTGCAACGAGGGGACTCGTTTCCTTTGTAGTGATTCAGTTAGGTGGCTCTGGCTACCCGAAGCCATACTAAGCTTATCGAATTCTGGATTTGCTGGTTATCTTTCTGCTGGCAAAGCCAGTAGTTTCTGTTGAAACAGCTCTAGAGCCTCTGAGGTGTGCTTTGTTGATGAATCATTCTGGCATTCATGATGGTTTTCTCATTGCTTTCCAGCCAAACACAGCCGTGTAAATTAGCTCCTGGAGAACAATATTGAAGGAATGCATTTTAATTGATGGCTTACGAGTTATATTTTATTAAATATAAAATATTAATAAATATTTTAATATTTTATTGGTAAAAGATTATACAAATCTATATTAGATTATATTAATTTAATCAACGTTCTAATTCGAATTTTTATTTATAATAAATATTTAAAATTTGATTTTTTTGATTAGCAAAAAAATATATGTATTAGGTTTTAATTAAAAAAAAATATATTAACTTTAATAAAAGATGATTTGAAATAATAATAATAATAATAATAATAATAACAACAAATGTTTGGTAAAATCCTTTTCCAAGCGTACCCAACAGCATAATATGAACAAATGCACTAACAGAGAAACCGACAAAAGGGCAAAATGGTAAAATCAAAAGGGGCAAATACTATAAACAAGTAGTTTCTGTGTGTGACGTCATAAACCCGATCGAACTCTAAACTCAGCTTTTCAACCTTTTCTCTCTTAACCTTAAAAAGGGTTCTGTTTGCAATCCTAGGTTCCTTTCCAACAAAACCAAAGCGGGGAAACGTCAATGATTACGAAAAATCCCATGTTTATGATTCCCTCGAAACCCTAAACACATCCAGTTGTAGATCTTCGTCTGTACGGAGAAATCTTTTTCACAGAGAGGAGAAAGCCAAAAAAAAAAGGAATAAAAAGAAAAACCCGCCGACCCACAATTCGTATTTCAACCTTTTGTTCGATCTTTCAGAGTATCTTCTTCTCTAAAGATTCTCTTTTTGTGCTCTTCCAAATTTTTCGAGCTGGTGAAAGAAAAATCGTGCTGGTAAAGCTCAGGTTTTCTCTGT